GCAATTTTTTGAGAAAGCGCCACACTGCCTTCCACAGTGGTTGCACCATCTTATATTCCCACCAACAGTGAATAAGAGTTCCAGTTTCTCCACATCCTCGCCAGCATTTGTTGCTTGCTGTTCTGTTATATTTTGCTATTCTTACTGGGGTGAGATGATATCTCATAGTTGTGAAAAATGCTTTTGTTTTTATAGTTAATGACAGAGATATTTTTATTAAAAAGGCCAAACATCGGTTGAGATGTAAACATTGTATGTGGTTGATAGGTGCTATCAAATTGACTGCAACTCCATGAGCAACAGGTCTGCACCTTGCCCCATCCTGCAGCATCCTCAGCACCTCTGATAGGCCCACTGTTACAGTCTCTGTCCCAGTCTATCTGCTTGAGGGAGAGTCTTCCTCTCTTTCTGTGACCCTCCGCCTTTCCAGGCATGATGTCTTTGTCTAAGGACTAGCCTCTCCTGACAACATACTCAAAGACAAATGAAGTTCCACCATCCTTGCCTCGAAGGAGCACCCTGGTTGCACTTTCTCCAACACAGACTTACTTGTTCTTTCAAGAGTCCACGACATATCCAGTACTCTTATCCAACACAAAAGCTTTTATGGACAACCCTTTTGGTGGCCCCTCTCCCCAGGCCCTCGTAGTCCCCATTTCAGGTGGTGATGGTACTACTGATGTGATGCATAAATAAAGGATAATATGTGGTGGTTGGGTTGACATCTGGCACCTGGTGCCAGCTATTGCTAAAGAGAAGATGGGGGTGGGGTAGTCTGGCCAAGTCTGAGAGTCCTAGGAGAAGAGAGGGCGGAGCTGAGTGCTAAAGACGGGAGAGCCAGCCTGGTGGAGGAAGCAGAGGCAGACGGGCATTCTGGTGGAGGGACAGCTCTGGCAAAGGCTCTGTAGTGGGCAGGAGCCTCGAGACAGGAGCTATGCCAGCAGGATGAAGTCTTGGGGTCACATCAAGGTTTTGGGTCTCCACCTCCAGAGCATTGGAATCTCAGGAGACATGGGAACACGATGTCACATCAATTCTGGGTTTAAAAAAAAAATTCCTTTCCCCCCCCACCCAGATAGACACACACACACACACACACAATTTGTTGTTTCAATGTCTTTTCACGTGG